TTTACAAATTCCCCCCGGACGCTATTTTTAGCACAAAAAGGAGGACATGTCCGGGTAAATCCGGACGAATGGTAACCCTAACCTGATCCAATCTAAGTTTAGGCCCAGAAATCTTTCTACAACACACTTTTATATAGTGTTGTGCCAGTATATCACTACTTTATACTTGGAACCAGATTCTGATCCCATTTGCACTAGTGTAAATCTGGAGTAATTACATTGGTGGAGAAGAGGGCCCAGGGATTGCACAAGAGGTACAAGGCTCCTTGTGCCCTCCTCCTCCCTTATATGTCTTTGCAACTGTCTCTCACAATCAGACCCAAAATGATCTCTCTCTCTCTTACCCTGAATTTGATTTTTTTATTAATACAATATTCTAAAGAGTCTTGGTGAAAGATTTTGCTGCTGTCTTTGGCGGCCGCTCCTGGATGCTCCTAAAGTTGTCTCCAGTTTTTTCAAAGATTGCAGATGTGATCTCTCAGACAAGATTGTTGCTAAAGATTCTTCCACCTTGTATTTAGCTGTGACACTCTGAGTTTCTTTCCCAGACCTGAAGAAGAGCTCTGTGTAAGCTTAAAAGCTTGTCTCTTTCACCAACAGAAGTTGGTCCAATACAAGATATTATCTCACTCACCTAGTCTCTCTAATATCCTGGGCCCAACACGGCTACAACAACACTGCAATCAAAATATCTGTGTCTTTTCAGTCTACATGTCATCCCTAAGAGACCCGTAGAATAATCCTTCCAGGACTAGATGTCCAGATGAGAGGAAAGGGGTATTCAGTTCAGGACAAGTTATAAAAAGAATCAATCTTCCAATATCAAGATTTCAGAGTCAGGAAGTTTTTTCTGTGTGGTGGTGTTGGGACAAAACATAACATGACAGTAAATGCTTAGAACAGTGATATAGCCCAAACTTCGCAGGGACTGACTCAAAGCCCTTTGGCTTCCCATTGACTTCAGTGGGCCCTAGTCAGGTGTAGGAATGTGTTGTTTTTTAATTATAAGCTTTGAAGAACGTCAAACTGTTTTTTTGGCAATAAGGTGGGAGTGACTTTGTTTTAGTGCCTATGTTTGGAAAACTTATTGGCAACAATGACATTACTTTTGTAGCTGGCTGTTTATGCGCTTAAAAGATGGGTTTGTAATTTTATGCTTATGTATACTGCCTGCCTTCTGAATGCGTAAAGAATGTAACTACTAAGAACTGTTGTAAACAAAGTAAGGAGATAATAAAAATCCCAGGAAAAGTTTTCCTGGGAGGCTTTTAGCTTAAAGCTTTAAAAGCTACGTACCACAGACCTGGCGTTCTGTTTCCTTTCCTGCGTCGTCACCACAGCAGTCAGGTCCCTAATGCAGTGGATGGTGATAGTTAAAGAACCCTGGCTTGCTTTAACTGTAGATTTTAAAATAACCAGTGACCAATTTTTAATGCATGAATTTTAACACTCTGCCTTGCTTTGTAGGGGGAGAGAGGTCGAATGGGCTTCAATGGAACTCAAGGAGAAGGAGGATGCCCAGGCATTAGAGGTCCTAAGGCAAGTGTTAGAAGCATTCTTTATCCCCCCCCTTTTATTTTTACTTTCCATATACCTATTTTGCACCTAGAAGAATTCCCTTCTGTGCATTCTTTAAGGACTTGTGGATGGCTATGCCCTGTTTTCAGAATACCAGAGTGACCCTGTAGCTTCTGGGTGTGCTGGGCTTGTATCTAGTCTTAGTGGCTCTGGCCAGGACAAGAGCATTGCAATGGTGGCTGGAGAGTCTGCTGATTCAGCAGCTCTCCAATGAATCTCCCACCCGCGGAGCTGCTACAGAGCCCTAGTGAGGAGTTAAAGTTGAACCAACCTGATTGCTAGGACAGGAACAGAAATGTCAATCTGCCCTGGGGCACCAAGGAGCTTTCATGGTGTAGATTCTGAAACTCGATCCCTCATTGGCATCTGCCTGTGCAGGGCCGGCTCCAGGCACCAGGCACCCAAGCTGGTGCTTGGGGCGGCACCTGGAGGGGGGCGGCGTGGCGCTCTGGCCGCCGGGGGGAGAGCCGAGCCCCAGCCGGGGCTCGCCGCCCTGCCCCCGGCGCTCTGGCCGCCGGGGTGGGGGGGAGAGCCGAGCCCCCGCCGGGGCTCGCCGCCCTCCTCCCAGGGCTCCGGCCGCCCTCCCCTCCAGCGCCCTCCCCCCCGCCGCCGGGGGGCGAGCGGCCTCCCCGGGCTCCGGCCGCCCTCCCCTCCAGCGCCCTCCCCCCAGCCGCCGGGGGGAGAGCGGAGCCCCCACCGGGGCTCCGGCCGTGGGCGGGGGGGGCGGCGGCCAGAGGCTTTTTTGCCTGGGGCGGCAAAAAAGCCAGAGCCGGCCCTGTGCCTGTGATCAATTCAGCAAGCTGCTTCTTGCTCCTGCACCAACTCTAGAAAACACTTCCGCTGCTTTTTGGTATAGTTTAAATTTTAACACAACTTATTTTTAATTTCAGGGAGCAAGAGGCTATCGAGGAAGCCGGGTATGTGTTCTTTCTATAGTTTCTTCCAGTAAAACCGCTCTTGGTTATACACAATCCTGTCATCTTTACTTCATGTTGTAGGATGAAAGTATGAAAGCTAGCTAAAGAGCAAAGGCAAAGGGTATCAAAAATTGAGTTTAAAAACACTGTGTGGATTTGCAATATAATGTATGCTGGGTTGGGAACTGCTCCTAGACTATTAAGAGACAATGGACGTGTGATTCATTTGAACTGAACGACTGCAGAAATTTGACCTAAATTGCTCACAGTGAAAAAGTCAGCACTAGTTACCAATAAAAAGCAACAAAGAGTCCTGTGGCACCTTATAGACTAACAGACGTATTGGAATATAAGCTTTCGTGGGTGAATACCCACTTCGTCAGACGCATGTGATGAAGTGGGTATTCACCCACGAAAGCTTATGCTCCAATACGTCTGTTAGTCCATAAGGTGCCACAGGACTCTTAGTCTGGATCTGTAAAAAGCAACAAACACGGCTACCCCTCTGATACTAGTTACCAATGTGACACTATTCCAAGGGCCAAATTATGGCTATTGGGGGCAAAAGAGAGGGTTGCCAGAACTTCCCCTAGCTCTGGTTAGCTGGTTCTAGGAGGTAATGCAAAGGTGCCAGGAGTGGGTAAGTCTGTTTCCTGAATTCCTTTACCTTTCTCTTTTTCTAAAGATCTAAAACCCATGACAGTAAAAGAAGAGTCAATTCAGCCCTGATGATTGATTTAAAAACCATTGCTGATTTTGGCTCAAATAGATTGAAATCTAAGGTGGGATTTTCAGAAGAGCCTAGTGGAGTTAGGTAGTTAGGTATCCAAATCACACTGAAATTCAATGATAGTAGAGTGTCTAATTGCCTTAGGAAAATGTCAGCTTTAATGTGTGCTCCGTAGACAAAGTGCAGTCTAAAAACTAGTGCAGTCCTTGAATCAAAGCCCACCCTGTTGATATACAAAGACTCCTTCACCTTTTTTGGCTACCATTACGAAACTTCATTTGGAGAGCATATATCTTTCATTGCTAACATTGTCTTCTGGGATCCGAAGAAGTGGGTTGTAGCCCACGAAAGCTTATGCTCTAATAAATTTGTTAGTCTCTAAGGTGCCACAAGTACTCCTGTTCTTTTTGCGGATATTTTTTCTGATTTTTTTAGTGATAAGATCTCAGCTGCAATACAAAAAGGTGACTGTAGATGGTGTAATGTATTAGTCCTACCAGTTCTGTAAAAAAAAAAAAAAAAAAACCCAAAAACCTGGTTGAAGAATTTCAGTTATGAAGGACTGAATGGACTACTTTCAGATCCCATTAACCCTTTTTCTAGATCAACCAGAGAAATCATTGGCTTTCCCCTGGAGCTGACTAGGTCACCCTCTCAGAGCTCTTAGCTCTTGCTACCTGGGAAAGGAGTAATCAGAAGCAGGTGTCTCAACACTAATTACGCACCCATCAGATTGGCTCTAAGAATGTTTGGATAAATGACATCTTTAACACAACATGGAGGTATTCACAGTTTTGAGTGAAGCTGGTTTAGAGTCAAAGTATCAAAATCCACCCTGATGCCAATAAGCACAATTCTATTAAAACAATCCATTAAAATAATGGTTCTGTGCCTTTATTTGTCCCAAAGTCTACAAAACTCTTACATAGTTACTTCTACTTCCAGTAAAGCGATGTTTTTCTAAGAGAGATGCTCTAGGAATTATTTTTGGGAAGTTTCCTAGTCTGTGTTATACAGCAGGTCAGCCTAGGTTCTTTCTGGCCTTTGAATCCATAAATCTATGAATTCTTACCAGCTGTTAAGTATAACAACCACAATATACAATGCCCCAAACAGAACACAGTACACTGTAAATAAGAAACAATTGAGCACCAAAAATACATGAGAACCTAAATGCTAGATCAAATGCGAACTGATTATATCCTGGAAGCTGAGAGATTTTAAGGATGCTGCCGGTGGTAAAGGAGATGTGAAAAAATGACTGATGGCAAAGTAAAGAGAGTTCTTATTCTTGAAGTTCATATTTTTAATAACTATTATTCTTACTTTTGAAAGTATTCAAAAGCATGTTAGGTGCTTTACTGTACATATAGAAAGACAGATTCCTTGCCCCAAAATGCTCACTAGTGTGCTAATGTGGATTTTTATTTCTACCAACAGGGCGAAGACGGTGAAAATGGAATTGATGGGATTGATGGAGCAGAGGTAACCTTTATTCACATGTACTGAATTAAATTAATGAGGTTCACCTGAAAGAAAGAATATTATTTGTTTGTATTTTTATTTTTCTAGGGAAAACAAGGATCTCTTGGATCTTCTGGAGAAAAAGGCAGTGCAGGAAGACGGGTAAAGTGTATTTAGCCCTGATGGAAGCTTCTGTCACCTTTCCGACTTTACTGCCAAATCTGCAACCTCTGTGATCTCTTAACAGCTGCACATTCTCGAATTATTTGATATAAACTGGGTAGATATAATTAAAGTGTAAAAGCCAGATTCTCAGCTGGTGTAAATCAGCATAGCTCCATAGACTTAATAGAGTTATGCAAATTTATGGCAGTGAGGATCTGGCCCTAAAGCTCTAACGATGACATTAATACTGTAGCTCTCTACCTGTATTCTAATTGTATGTGCTTTCTTCATGACTTAAGGGTAAAAAAGGACCTAGAGGAGAACTGGGTGAGCGTGGAGAGCCTGGTCTAAGAGGAAACCATGTAAGTAAAGTCTATGGTATCTTTTAACTTTTGACAGACTGAAAAGACTTTCAGTGAAGTGAATAGCAATAGAGCTTTTAATCTTCATCTTTGAATCCAGATTTGTCATATAATGTCCAGATTTTGTGATGAAGTTGCCTCAAATGTCAATTTTGTTGTAATGTTTGAGGGCATCCTAATAATCCTGGACCATGCACTACCCTGCCGAGGAAATCGGGAATAGAACTGGTCAGGAATTTTTATGATTAAATGGCTTCTGGTTGGAAAATGCCAGTTTGATAAAACTGAAACATTTTGTGGAAATGTATCAGTTTCTCAGGTCTAGGGTGGAATTTCTGGTCAGAGAGAGAAATCCCCATGCCAGAATTTCCAACAGACCTGTGGTTCGGGAACTCAGTTCGGATGCGGAAGACGCAGGTTTAGTTCCTTGCTATGCCTCAGACAGAGCGGGGACTTCTGGTTATTCCAGGGAGGGGGGGTCTCTCTCTTTCTCTCTCTGATGGGATTTTTGCTGGATGGGAAAACTATTTCCTGCCTGTCTCTGAAAGGGAATTTTGAGAGTTCCCCTCTCATTAATGGCTGGAGGTTTGGCACCTGAAATCTATGGATGTCCCAAGATACATACCCATCTTAATAATACCAGAGAGGGGCAGCAGCACAGGCCTCACTGCTTCCTTATCCATGGTAACACAGCCCTTTCTGGAACCATTCTGGCATGCAATCCCTACTGCTGGCTGAACTGAACCCCATCCTCTAAAAAGATTTGCAGCCATCTGGAGGAGTTACTGCTGATTCCATTAGAAGAAACTCGGGGGCTGATGTCTGGTTGGAAATGGACAACGATGGAGAGAGCAGCTGCTTTTTGACTCCACCCCTCCTTGTTATGAACTGCAGAACCCTAATCTTATGGCGGGGCTTCAGCAGCATCTGAGGACCAGAAGTTAGAATGCAGTGGAGGCTCTGCTCTCTCCACACCATTGGTTAAGGACCTTTTCAGGTGCATTTTGCAGCCCTTTTCTCCAAATAGCAAAGGGTATCATGTGGCTCCTGCTAGTTTCTAATGCTCAGTTAATACTGTCAGGTGTCCTAGTAACAATCAGGTGTCCTGGCCTCATTGAAGCAAATAAGAATTTAGCCATTGTCATGAGTTCAGTGGGTCAGGATTTCATTCCCTGAGTCCAACTGTATTGTATTCAAAGAGGACAATATCCATGCATAATTCAATTCATTTCAGGATAAAATCTTGCTGAAGATCACTGATTATGTTCTTACCAGCACATGTAAACCCCTGCTTTTACATGGGTTTGGCTGTTGGGCCAGTTAATCCACCATCTGAGCAGTCTCCCTTATGTAACCAATGAAACTGTTGCATCCAAATTAGCTGTAGGGTAATGGTAAGATTGGTTGAGTTACCTCTTATATCACAATGGTCTTGGACTCTTGGCATGTCATAGACACTGAGCTACTGTAGCTGTACACTGCACAGGTGTTGTTTGTAAAGGCAAAATGGCTGAGAACTTACAAATTGTGTGGTAACAGACCGTGAATCCCAGTGATGAATGAACATGGTGATATTCTTAACAAAAAAGAGCTCTCAGCCATGCATGTAGCTGTTTCCATCACTTCCCACTGACTCAATAGGCATTTTAGGCTTCAGAGTGACACACACAGAGTGACAATCCTGGAATCTTATTATATAGACCCTGGGTAATTATACCTAAACAGACAGATCAACCATTTAATTACAAGCTTGAATTCATTGCCCATCCAGATACTTTCTTTTCATCTCTTTGGGCAAAGAGCTCTTAGTTTTTGATTGTGGAACTGCATCTGCAGAGGCCTCTTGCCACCATCATCTTCTGAATTAATCCTTTTTTTAATTATTATTACTCTGCTCCTATTTCCATATCCTGCCTTTGCAGCTACACTAGCAAAGAGTAAATTACCAAAAATGGTTAACGTCATCTTGACTTTTTCAGGGGGATCCTGGAATTAACAATAATGTCTCTGGTCCAGAGGGTGAAAAAGGAAAGCCAGGGCAGCAGGTAAACACAGCTTTGCACTGTTAAGGGCTAACAGAGCTATGTAGGGAGGAGAACTGTGTGTTTCTTAGAGGGTTGAGTTCTATCAGTTTTTGGGAGTGAGCTGCTATTTAATTTTATATTTTGCTTTATAACCTGTGTCTGCAGCACGTAGGGCTTTGGAGAGGTGTGCCCCTTTTTTCTTATTGTATCAATCCATAGAAATGCCACACTGTGCCTACAGCTGGTAATATTTTTGTGCTTGCTGATGGATGTCGAATGCAGTTTGACCAGAAGGAAGATCATTTGTAATTTGTTACCTGGATTTAGCATGAATATATTTCTACAGAAGACTTCTCAGGGTGGATTGAGACCACCAACTTCATTTCTCATAAGCCTCTAATCAGTGAAATACCATGGATTTCTTGTACTACATTGCTTAGAAAAAATAAATAAATCCAGCATTCTGAATACCAAAAACATCCTTGTCAGCTTGCTAAAAAATATTTATTCCTTAAGAGTAGACTGAACTCCTTTCTGACCTGTCTCTTCAGATTTGGATACATGCTTACAAAATGTCTTCTGAATCCTTTCTGGTTAAATTAGATTTGCTGTAAGCGCATAGGGGCAGGAACTTGAAACTTAGTATATGTGTGTACAGTGGAGCTGATCCTGATCGGCAGTGATGCAGTACAAATAAAATAACCAAAGGAGCTCTGCCCATATTTCCTCATTTCTTGATTTCCAAGCTGTAAGGAAGGGTTTATCTACGTTCTACTCAAATACCAAAGTTAGAGTACAGTGGGTATAGGCATATCCATATGAAATCTGGTCACATCTCAAAAACTCCTTTGTCTACAGGAAGCTGATTGACTGACTGTGTAAAAATATATCTAGGTTCTAATCCAAATACCATTAAAGTCAATGGAAACCCCCCTGTTAACTTCAGTGGGCTTTGGATCAGGCCCCAGACCTTAAGAAGTTGCCCTTTTTGCATAATTGCTTTTCAGAGAAAAGCTGGACTTTAATGAATTTCTGGCAACAAAAGTCACTGCTTTCTGGTTAATCTTTCCTCAGAATCCCCACCATCTGCTTTCTTTGGAAGACAGAGACAGAAAAAAGATCCCACAAAAGCCTTTATCTAATCTCAGATGGTTATGGTTGAAGGGTTGGAACCCAAAAGCAGACCAGTTCCTTCTGGCTAGATACTTTTAATTAAACACACTTTTCACAGAACTAGGTCTAACACATGCTGTGGTTCGAATGATTACAATGCAATTAGAAGAAAACATTTTCCAGGAAAAATATCAAAGAAGGGCTATAAAAAGAAACATGTGTACTTGATATCTTTTAAAAAAAGGCTGACTTTTCGTTTTGCAGGGAGAACCGGGAACAGATGGAGTGCCAGGAGAGTCGGGTGCAGAGGGCATTGATGTAAGAGCAGTTATCCTTATGGACTGGAAGTAGCTGATCCATAGCTGAGGATGCAATGATGTTCCCATTTATAAGCCCAGTTTTGCTCTCCACCTTTTTATCCCCACAAAAAATCTACACCAAAGGAATATTGGCCTTAAGTTTGGAAGGGTCGGTCTGTGATGGAGGTAACAGTTTTCTACCAAATTTTAAATATATCATACAAGGAATTCCTGATTTATGACCACCCTTGAGCCTTGTGCTCATTGGGGACCTTGGACCCTCCATGAGCCTTAGAAACTTGGGAAAGTCACCAAAGACAAGCCTAATCCCTCCCCGCCAACCCATAAGCCTTAGTAAGCTTCTTACTCCCCCACAAGCCTATATAAGCTCACTGGGAGCTGACAAGCCTATTTTGACTCATTGGAGTCGGAGGAGCCTATTAAGGCTGAGGGGACATTTGCTGAACCTCCTTCGTCTCCCAGGAAATGAAGGCAATGGCCCTGCTAATGCTCAGGAATGGACTGCTTACTGGTCCCTCCTATCCTGGACTTGGGTTAGCTCCCAAAAGGCCTCCATGATGTTTAACAGTGTCACTATGGTCATGAAGGAAGCTAGGGAGAGCAGAGTACTTAGGGGAGTAACACAGTCCCCACTGCCTAACATGCATGGAACCAGGACTCTCCTTCTGCTGACCTTAGCAGTGGGGATGGGGAATGGGAAAGTCATCCTGGAGAAGGCAGTTTAGATACCTTCCTTCTGAATTTCCTACCGTTCTAATGACTGTATTTTGATAAATGTAATGCTCTTGTAAAGTTTCTACCCTTAATTTACTGATACGAACACTCAACCTCAATTTCACCTTAACCAAGGTTTTTTGTCTGGGAATAGCCATTTCCTCCCCATTAATGTACCATGTTTGGCTCCAGGGCCATTATTTTTCATTTACTGGTCATAGTTCTGGATAAATTGCACTTGTCTTTCCCTCTTAGGGTGCAGGAGGTCGGCGAGGCCCCCAGGGATTAAAGGTCAGTGATGATTACTAGTATATGCTGTGTGTACATAGCTATCACTCACGTCCGAGCTTTCGCCCGTCTTAGAGGGGATATTTTCAGTGATACCACAGAAACTGAACACAAGTATTTAATAATCAGGAAGTCCATTGCAAGCCTACTCAGCCTTTAGGTCCCAGGAAACACCCGACCAGAGGTCTTTTTGATTTGGAGGGGCCAAAAATGTAAAGGAGAATCTTAGCTTTCCCTGAAATAAAAGTCTGTTTCTAGCTCATTTTTTTGCGACGGTAGCCTTGTCAAACTGACATCAGCTGAGGTAAGTCAATTAATTAGGTTATAAGGAGTGAGCAGCTGGGCTCATTCCTGCAACACAAGGCTGAGGGACCTGATGATTTTCTCTCCAGTCCTTACCTGAAAACACAGACTTCTATGTAAAATGACCTCATTAAATGTGGGGTATGTCCAAAGAATCCTTACGCCAGCCCTGTGTATAGCGATGTGATAACAGAGAACTGGGATTGGTCATGTTTGGTGTAAAGCAACAAAATGCCATCTTGCAGGCTTGCTTAACAAATGCTTAGGTTGGCTCTGGTTTCAGAATCAAACCAAAAAGTAGATGTCCAAATTTCCCACTGGGATATGCAAGTGGCACTTCCATTTGAACTGATGAAATTTGCATATGGATAGCCAAAGTCAGAATTTTGCCCCTGGTGCTAAGCCAAGGGACTCGTGCCCTTGCTATCAAATAATGGGGCTATAATCACTGCTAGATAAGAATGTGAGAATTGTCTAGCCTCTAAGGCTTACACATATTTTTCAACCATTTAAAAATTAAAAAGTTAGTGAAGGGCAAGAGCTGACCACTGAGAAGGAGGGAGGCAGGCTGGTGCAGATCCACTATATTAAGCCTCCTTAAAACCAACACAAAACTCGGCTGAAGGTTCATAAATATCTGCACTACAGTTGACAAGGCAACACAGAGGTGAGTGATTCCTTCAAGCCTTCTATGTCTGCCAGGTGTGTGTGTGTGTGTGTGCACACACGCACAACCAGGGCTCCCTCTTCTTCCACTACAGGGATACCAACAATGAGACCTGATTGGAAATTTTCCAACAGAACAGAGTTTTGTTGCAAAATGGCAATGAGTCAAACCTGAGAAGTTTTATGACAACACTTTAGGTTAAATGAAGTTTCATTGAGTCACAAGCAGAGTTCCAACAGAACCCTGTTATTTCCTTGCCAGCTCACCTAGTGGGCTGTTGGGGACAGTCTGCCCCGGGGCCAGGGACCCCAAGGTTTCCCGGCTCCCAGTATCAGAATGAGGAGCCTGGAAACCCTGGGAGCCTTGGTTCTGACTGTGGCTTGTCTTCTAGCTCTGTGGCCTGGAAGTCCTGAAAATGTCAGCTCTCAGGACATCCAGGCTCTCTCCTGCTGAGCTGGGAACCTGAAAGCCCTGGGAGCCCTGGCTCCGAGCTTAGTGTGGGTTCCAGGTTCCTGCCACTGGAACCAGGAGTGTAGCAGCCCAGGGAGCCTTGTGAGCCCCAGCTCAAGCCCTGGCTCTCAGGGTCTAGGTACCTGGCATTGCATCAGGGAGCCTGGAAGCAGTAAGAGGCCTGACTCGAGTTGTGGCTCTCAGGGTTCCAGACTCCCAGCCACAGAGCAAGACACCTGGGCCAGCTGGTTCCCCAGGCTGCCTGACTCTTGCTGCCCAAGCTGCGGAAGTTGGGCAGACAGCTGGCCTGGGAGTTTGGAAGCCCGCTGGGCCCTGTGGTCTGCCCTGGAGCTGGGGGACAGTGGAATCTGGGGAGCATATTTGATTTTGGAAAGACTGTGTTTCCAAAATGGAAAAGTTTGGACTCTCCAGTTTACAGGAAATTTTGAAATGGCAGAATTTCCCCATGAACTGGGAATTCCAAATTTCATCCAGCTCTAGCACCAGCAACACATGAACTGCTTCTGGCGCTCACAAAAATAACACACAGGATTGCAGTCGGCCCAGGAAGAGAAATTCCAAGTGCTGGAATGCTGATGGTCTTGATTAGGGATAGTAGATATAAATCTGAGACACAGAAATATAGGATGGGAATAGACCACCTGGGTCACTGAGTCCAGTCCACTGCTATCACAGGCATCCCATCATACCATCCCATTCGTAAATTTATCAAGCTTCATCTTAAAGCTAGGTAGGTTGTTTGACCCCACTACTTCTATTGGAAGGTTGTTCCAGAACCTCATTCCTCTGATGGTTAGAAACCTTTTTCTGATTTCCAGCCTAAATTGATTCAGGGCAAGTTTATAATAATTTGTTCTTCAAACTGGTTGTTAGTTTTTAAGGCAGCTTCATTTAAAACTAACAAACAAACAAAAATATCCCCTGACCCCAAAACCAACAGCTGTGTTCTGATTGCAAACAGAAGTAGCAAATCAGCTCCAAGATATTAAAATATAGAATTCTGTGAATTACAACACTCAGAGAATTCCAGAACTAGTGGAATTTATGGGAAAAATTAACTTCCAAACTATTGGGCCCAGACATGTTACAGGAATAGGTTGAACACAATTGTACCACAGTAATTACTACTGATTGGAGGTGCCGGGAAAGAACCGCACTGTTTAACCCCTGCGATGCAACAAAGCAGAGAAACACTGTAGAGAGATTTAACTGATGAAGATGTTTCTGTGTCCATTTTATCGCTGGTTAAGTTTTAGGTAGTGTACTGGAAAAATAATTCTTTGTCTCAGGAGTCACTTCAACAATGCAGTTACCAAAGAAAATCTGAAAGCAGATGGATCCAATAATGAGCTGGCAAAAGTAAAATAACATTGAAGAAATTCAAGAAGGTTCTGTGATTTTTAAAAGCCGGGAAACAAACCCTCTCCCTTGTACCTTAAGAAAATATGGTGGGCCTGTGATGATGTTTATAAACCAGGACTTTGCTTATTCTGCTTGCGTGTTATATCCCTTTACCCTACCCGTCTTCTGTCTTGTCTGCTTAGGTTTTATGCTCTTAAGGGCAGACATCATATTACTCTGTAGAGCACCTAGCACAGTAAGGTCCCGTTCTTGGTTGACCTCTAGGTGCTCCTTCAGTACAAATAATGATGTTGGTGATGTATGACCAGTCACTTGGTAAAATATAGTGCCTCAATAAGCATGTCTTGATGTGTTCTGATTCTTCATATGTTTTGGATAATATTAATTTTTCTGATTTTTCATTTCTCCTTTTACTAGTCTGCATCTTTCTCTAGATCTCACCAAGCAATTTCCCAGAGCTGTTCGCTTGTTTGCCTTAACAAAAATTAAATGTAGAGAAGCTTTGCACTTTTGCCTCTGGCTCTATGGTACTATCTTCAGGCTAAGATTTTGCCTTTAGGGCCCTGCCCTACACTGCGGGAGAGAGCAGAGCTCCACCACCTTATTGAATACATGATGCTATACATGGCTGCTATCTCTTACAAAATGGTAAGAGCCAGGTTCTTTCCTGATTTACACTCTGGGCAATCCCCTTCATTCCAATTCATGCAGATGTGGTTCCAGTGATTGGGAACTGGATGAAGGTGGGTTTGGTGTGGGGGGGGTAGTTAGCAGTTAGCACACTTCCAGCCGCTGGGCTCAAGTAGCAATTGTTTCACAGCACTATAGCTTTTCTTCAGGTTGTGTGTGTGTGTGTGTGTGTGTGTGTGGAGTTAGCCCCTCAAAAATCCATTGCAGTTCACCTGGAAATAGCTGCTGAGTTGTACATGAGTTTGTCACATTTCCCCCCATGTGCACAGGATATGCACTGAAATGCTTACTTGCTTCTTATTCTGGCAGCATTTCCATTAGGGAGCACGATAAAGGACTAACGGGTGCAGGGTTTCTCCAACACAAGGAAAAGAATGCTATGAATAAATGTAAACTGAGTGCCAAGCACAAAGAGAAACTTAATAAATAACAATAGCATCCAAAATTGAATAAAACATTAATTTATGCAAAGAAAATGTAGGCTACAGAAGAGTCTCTTCAATGGCATATCACTTTCTTCAGCCAACCAGTCTTTGAATAGATATACAGTCCTATTGAGTTTTTGTCCTTCTGCACTTCCCAGTAGCTTATGGGGTCTCTTTGTTGGTGGAGATGGATCTCACGCTCTGCATTGATCTTTGGCTTGCTATGAGCTATTGTGAGGCATCACGAGTTTGTGACATCAGGGGCTGTCTGATTCAAATTCAGTATCCAATGGAAAATGACAGCTACAGTCTGGTCTCCAGTGAATCCCTCAGATAGTGCCTTTGTCACATTCACAACATGCGGTGTGAGTTTATATCTAAATACGAAACCTCTGCCTCATTGGCTCCCTGGCCAGGGACCTCAGAGCTGGAATCCGTTACAAGCATTTTGACCTTTTATGCTGTGTGGCAATGGTCCCCAAGAGACTGTATGCCAACTGAGGGTAGCCAGAGTGCAGCATCCCTCACCCTCAGGGCCGGTGCAACCACTAGGCAAACTAGGCAGCTGCCTAGGGCGCCAAGTGGTAGGGGACAGAGAAAAGCGCGCTCCGGGGCGGTGGTGGAGTGGAGGTGAGCTGGGGCAGGAGGGCGCGGGGAGGGCTGCCTGCAGCAAGTAAGGGGGGGGCGGCACACAGGGGACCCGCTCCCCAGCCCAGCTCACCTCCACTCCACCTCCTCGCCGAGCACGCCGCCCCACTCTGCTTCTCTCCCTCCCAGGCTTGCAGTGCCAAACAGCTGATTGGCGCCACAAGCCTGGGAGGCGGGAGAAGTGGAGCAGCGATGGCGTGCTTGGGGAGGGAGTGGAGCAGAGGTGAGCTGGGATGGGGAGCTGCCGCACGGCTCCCCAGGCCAGGGGGGAGCTGCCGCGGGGAGGGGGCGCCTCAGGGTGGAGGGGGGTTGGGGAGTGCCACAGGGCTCGGGGAGGGGGCGGAGCAGAGGTGAGCTGGGGTGGGGAGCTGCCGCACGGCTCCCCGGGCGGGGGGGGGAGCTGCCGCAGGGGGGGACGCCTCAGGGTGCAGGGAGGG